TTCCACATCAGCTCGGGCTTCGCCTGCGGCCACTGCTACCCGAGACAGCAACTCCTGGTTTTTAAGACAATAAAACCCTCATTCGGGTGGCTTCCACCTTTACGCCCTTGTTGTTGTGTTCTTCCTTGGGGGTTCAAACAGGACGTAATCAGGCGGTGACATCTCAGCTTGTCACCGTTACAACATTGGCGACGCAGGTGAGACGTTGCCTTAATTGGTAAAATTACAACAATTGTCGACGCGGATGAGATGCCACCATGTCTATCACCTAGTAACCCTTCCTAGCCTAAATCAAATCTCAGAGCTTCAGTTACTATTTCGGGAGTTGCACCGCCTACTGTAGGCATCTATTTTAAGGTTAGATGAGTGTGCTCCATTGTGTGATTGGTGAAAGTGTGCAGGCCGCCTTACCGGTGGTGGAGAGCACGCCGGCGCGCACGGAGGTCTTGTAGAGCGGGGCAATGTACTTCCCCGGGTCCGGCTTGAAGTCCATCTCGGGTTTCATATGCACAATCGGCAGAGGCACCAAAAGTTCACCTAACAGGGAATCCGTAATAAGCTGGCTGTCATCGTCCCACCTGCAAGGCAGAATTATACAATACTAACCTGCGCAAGGGGCATAGCAGCACTGTTTGCGGCCATGGTAAAAAAAAACACAGATGACAATTACTGTATCCATTATTTTGGCTTCAAGACTAGCAGTCTAGGTTTTAAAAACAAACAATGGATTGAAATGGGACCGAAGAGTCAATTGCTAACTATCAGGCCATTTAGCTCGAAATGCAACGGGGAAAAGTCATTTGTTCCGACGGGTTTTCTCATTACGTATATACTTACTTAAAAAGAGATGGAATTCTTTGGGAAAATTGACATTTCAGTGCGTAAATTTTCGGAACTAGTTCCCCAGGTCGTAATCACACTATTGGCTGTTTTCATACGCAGTCCATTTTTGACGGCGGCAAGACAATAAGCTTGTGTCTAAATGGGTTGGAGCAGAGGTCGGCAACCTTTTTGACTCAGAGAGCCAAGAAAGCAAATATTTGGAAGTATATTTCAATGGGAGCCATATAATATATTTTAAGATTGAATTCAATTAAAAGTGAGGATAATAAGTCCCTGGATTTATTCACTGGAAAAACCGAAATCGCAAAAGCTGAAGTTTATAATTCCAATTTTATCTGAGAGAGCCAGATTCAGTCACCAAAAGAGCCACATCTGGCTCGCGAGCCATGCGTTCCCGACGACTGGGTTAGAGTGGTGAACCGTTTGGGGGTCGATTTTGCCTGGCTGATAATGGCTGACAAGCCAGAAATGACCATTTCGGCCTCCCTTATCTTCTTCGGCAATGTTCACCTAATGACCTGTTTACCAAGGTGGTTGCTACGGGCTTTCGTTGGATAGACTTTGCCCGTGCTGGACCGAACCAGATTGGCCAGTGGTACACGATATTTAGGCCGCACATCCCACAAAAACTACCACGCACGGAGATGGGGTGCTACACCCAGGCACAGGTTTTACGTCTCATCAGCAAGTTGCGCCCAGTATCAAATGATTGGCAGGCCAGGAGGGACGGAAGAGGACTGATGTATGATGTTAAATTGACACTGCCGAATAAATTCCCAATGAACGACGCTGCACTCCTCATTGTAACAAATCTGTCATGCTATGAAACTATACCAATGCGCCAAAAGTTTGGCATATAGAGCAATCAACTTACAGGGTATTTTGGCCTTCCATGAACTGAGCGGCATTCTATAGTGGACCTTACCGCCACTGCTGCCAGACGAAACTGACGCGCAACTGAGGCGCACCCAAACGCACGCACAATGTCTTCCCCATTCTGGTCTCAACCCACAGTGGCTTGACCTCGATCGGTCTGGACAAAGCTCTAGGCCGATGCTACCGCCAGACGCACTAACACACTTACTAAGGCGTCCATTTCGGTTCGCCTACAG